CTTCAGATTTTGGAATCAAGAAACGTTATCAGCTCGATCCTGTTGCTTCTTTGCGCATGAAAATGTTTGTTGATCCTAAACATATGCACATTCATTCTCTGCTTGATCGTCAAGCAGTTCAGTTCGGTGTTAGCTCGCTCTCTCGAGTTGTTTGAAAAGTTCGTGGCGATATTGTTCGCGCTCTCTCTTTCGCGGTTTGTCGTGCGTGTGTGTGTGCCCCGTAATGGGGAAGCATCGGTCGCGAAGCCCGGCGAAGGTCCAGAACTCCGGTGAAGGAAGCTCCGGTGTGCCTACCTCGAACAGGTTTGCTGTTCTCCCCATGAATGGGAATATCCAGCCGGCTGTGTTGGAAAAACGCAGCAAGAAAAGGAAGAAGAACCGAGGCCAGTCTGATGGCACGATTGGTCGAGACGATGCCTAGGCGACGAACGGAGATTTCGGTGACGCTGCCGATAAAGAAAATGCTGCTGACATGAGCGCGGCAAGAGTGAAGCTACCTCCGCTGGTGGTGAAAAATGCCCATCTCAACGAGCTCATCGCGGATCTGGCGTCGCTGGGCGTCAAAGCCGAATTCAAATTGGGCAGAGTCGGCACCAAGGTGGTGCTCCGTACCAAAGCGGAGTATGACTTGGTCATCGCCCACCTGAGGACTTCCAAGGTGGAATTCTTCACCCACGACATCCCCGGTGAAAAACCGTTCAAGGTTGTCATCAGGGGCCTACCAAATTTCGACCCGAAGTTTATCGAACATGAAATCAGGGACAGGTACAAGCTGGCCTCAAGTGCCGTGTACCGAATGACAAGAAGAGACGAGAATGTGAAGGCGTACCCGGATAGCCTTTTCCTGGTACACTTCCAGAAGGGAACGGTGACGCTCAATGCACTGAAAGCCATCCGGTCCAGCAATTCCATCATCGTTCGCTAGGAGCCATACCGTGGCGGCCATCGCGATGTGACTCAGTGCCAGCGGTGTCTGAACTTCGGACACGGTACCCGCAACTGCAACATTAAGCCACACTGCGGAAATTGCGCTCAAGACCATGCCACCTCCGAATGTGCTGCGGATGAAGCTGTGGCGTCCAAATGCGCCAACTGTGGTGGTGCTCACCAAGGATCCAACAAGCAGTGCCCTAAACGCGAGGATTTCAAGCGCATCCGAAATCAAGCGTCCACCAACAATCAACCAGCACGAAGGAAGGATAAGACCCCGGCTTTCAGGACGGAGGACTTTCCGCCTCCTCATGGACAAGTGAATCCCAGGGTGCGATCCGCGCCCCCTCAAGAAACGTCTGGATCTTCTGCTGGACAAAGCTCTCCATCCCCCCTGGATTCTGGAGGAAACCAACAGCTCAAACAAATAATCCCGATCTGTTCTCAGCAGATGAACTTATGGAGATTTTTATCAACATGACCGGTGCTCTACGTAAGTGCCGCAATAACCCCGAACAGATCCAAGTGCTCGGTAAGTTCATCATCCAATATGGTGTCTAAACCGCTAACCATCGCTACCTGGAACGCTTGCTCTGTAAGAGCTAAACAGATTGAGCTTGCCGACTTCCTCCGCAAGCATAGCATCGACGTGGGTCTTCTAACGGAAACCCACCTAAAGTCCGGTGACAGCTTCTGGTTGCCTGACCACAACATTATCCGGCTTGATCGCACCAGCTCCAGGGGGGGTGGTGTAGCGGTCATCGTCAGAAAGGGAATCAAGTTTTGCACTCTGCCCCACATCCGCACTTCTATCATCGAGGCCATTAGTGTGGAGGTAGAAACACCAACTGGAAACGTCCGGTTTATAGGTGTTTACTGCCAACGTCAGTGTACCACAAGCAACGGCCTAGACATCCAATTCAAGAACGACCTGACCGCCATCACTCGTACTAGCTCCCGATTCATCGTTCGGGGCGACCTGAACGCCCGCCATGAAGCTTGGCGGAACTACCAGCGGAACCGGAACGGATGTCTATTGTACGACCACGCACAACATGGACTGTACACTGTGCTATTTCCGGACGAACCAACTTTCATCTCTCCGACGGGAAATCCCTCCACGCTGGACTTCTTCCTGTCGAACATCGGACTATCCAAGCCGGAGGCGCACAACGATCTCAGCTCCGACCACCAACCGGTGGTGACTGAAGTCGGTGTCAACGTGGTTCCTGCTAGAAGCTGCCTGCGTAAAGACTACCACCATGTCAACTGGGTGCAGTACGGACGAATGGTGGACAGCAACATCGATGAAAATCCACTGCTCGACACCGTAGATGACATCGACCGGGCGTTGGAAGGACTCCAACAGGCCATATCCGTGGCTGACGAGACATGCGTTCGACGAGTTCATGTGAGGGGTAAGTTTGTTGCTATTGATTCCCACACCCAATTATTGATTCGATTGAGAAATGTGCGTAGACGCCAGTTTCAGAGGACTGGAGACCTGGGCAAAAACGTGAAATGGCCGATCTGAACAGGCAGATTGCTTCCAGAATGGACTCACTCCGAAATGAAAGTTTCGGGCGTGTTGTCCAGAATCTGGACGACCGCTCCAGACCATTCTGGAAGGTAGCCAAGGTCCTGAAAACTCATCCCAAACCCGCTCCACCTCTCAGAGTCGAAAATGATGACGATCGGCTTTTACTCACCCCACATGAGAAAGCAAATGCGATCGGCGAGCATGTCGCTTCATCGCATTTGCTTGGCTCGACTATCCAAACTCCGCTCGATGATCAGGTTGCGCAATGCGTTCAAAACCTAGATGCCCCCCCTTGTGCCGTGCCTCCGGCGGATATGATTACAGTACAACAAATTTGCTCAGCGCTGAAATGCACCAAGAACATGAAGGCTCCCGGGTTTGACGGCATATTCAACTTGATCTTGAAGAGACTCAGCATGAAAGTGCAGTCTCTTCTAACCGCTATCTTCAACAGATGTTTGGAACTGCACTACTTTCCAAGTATCTGGAAAGTAGCAAAAATCATACCAATCCGCAAGCCCGGTAAGGATCCAACATTGCCTTCAAGCTACAGACCAATCAGCCTCCTTTCAGCGCTGAGCAAATTGTTCGAGAAACTCATTCTCAATCGTTTGCTCAAGTTTGTCGAGGAAAATAACATTCTCCTTCGGGAACAGTTTGGTTTCAGAAAGGGGCACTCCACCAATCACCAGCTAGTGCGGGTGATGAATAACATCCGAAGTAACAAAGCTGTATCCAAGTCCACAGCCATGGCCTTGTTAGACGTTGAGAAAGCGTTTGATAATGTCTGGCACAATGGACTTGTATTCAAGCTTTGTAACTTCAACTTTCCATTACATCTGTTTAAAATCACCCGTAACTACCTCCAGCAAAGGTCGTTTAAGGTATCGTTGAATGGTTGTCTTTCCGACACGTTTTCCATCCCAGCAGGAGTCCCGCAAGGCAGTCTGCTGGGCCCCTTGCTTTACAGCATTTACACTTCCGACATTCCTCCCCTTGGAGACGGTTGCGTGTTTTTCCTGTTCGCAGATGATACCGCAATAGCCGTCAAAGGAAGGATGCCTAGCGAAATAACGAACAAACTTCAACGATGCCTTAACGCCTTTGCTGATTATGCCACCACGTGGAAAATCAAAATCAATGCCTCCAAAACACAAGCGATCATGTTCCTCCATCGGCAATCGCCCAAACTGAAACCGACTCCATCTTGTACTGTAATCATGGATGGCACAAGGGTTAAGTGGTCCGCCGAAGTAACCTATCTCGGGATGTTGTTCGATGAAAAGCTCCTCTCCCGTTCGCATGTGGAGAAAACCATAATCAAGTGTTCTGCCTTGGTTAGGTGTCTGTATCCGCTGATTTGCCGCAGATCCCGCCTCTCAAGGAGGTTCTGATAGGAGGTTCTCATGTGTAAAAGGTTATTAATAGTATGTGGAATCGTAGATTAGAATGAAGATTCGTCCTTGGCGTAACTCCCACTGTCTGGCAGTGGCATTACGGATAAAATCTGCCTGAAATCATTTCTTACGAATGCAAGAAGCTTGAACCAAGGAGTTAGAAGATGACGCAGCTACAATAACCCATTTCAAGAACGCAAGCATTCCGAAGCTATTTTCACACATGATAAGCCACGCTCCAATACATTATCGATGCAAATATACACCATTGATAATGTACTGAAACTTTCGATCAAGCAGTAGTGAGGCGTATTTAGTTAGTTTTGAAATGATCGTTTTTAATTAGATGGATATTTCCTATCGAGGGCAGAGGAACGAAAAGGTAAATAAACTTGATTGAGCGTAACTACGCGTAGGTTAGAACAGTCGGCACCACATGCAACGGATAAGTAATTTGAAAATTTTCACTTAATGCACTTTTCAACATCACTTCTGTACTTTCAAATTAACACTTTTTAAAAATGAAATTGTAAATTTATAACATTTCCACTAGAATGAAAACGACGCAGCAAAACAAAACACGTCATTTTCGCAGCGCGGTCTACTTCGATCTCCGGTTCGTGTCTAATCTATTTCGCACAAATTATTTTTATCTAGATAAAACATTTCTATGGTTTTGACAGATGGGATCGCTGCACATTTGAATCGGCCGTTATAGATTCTCGATCAAGAGTTAATTTTAAGTTTCATGTCGGTTTGTCGGTGGTATTTATGTGAGTTCATACTAATACATCATGGACATTGTTCGGATGATTCACGATACGCGTTGCATTTTTTTTATAAAATAATTTTTATACATTTTTATTATTTTTATCTCTTCTTTTAAATCGTTTCAAGACAAATATCGTCTCGCTCACGCTGTCTCTCTTTATATCTCTCTGTCTTTCTATTTGTTCACTTTTCTTAATCGTTTCAACGGTGTTTATCTATATTTAATAAAACCTAATAAAAAACAGCTCGTTTAAAACATTTTCCTTATTAAAACTGATTCTTTAAAAAAAAATGCACAATTAAAATACTTTTTTTACGTTGCGATTGATTTTTGCTTCTTTCTGTCATGATTGTTACAGATATTTTACTATGAACTCTGTGAGTGTGAGTTTAATTTATTGCAAATGCTACCCCTAGTCGGGTTCACTGGATATCTTTTCGTTTTGATCATCGCACACTGAGATTCTCGTTGAATAGTTGAGAACAGAGTTGAGAACAAAAAAAAAATGTCAACAAAATTTGTCTTTTTTTTTCCCGCTAAAAAAGAGAGAATTTCCATTTTTCCTACTAAGCTAGTTGCTGTTTTTTTTAAAATCGAGTTGATTGTTTTATAAAATCGTTACATTAAAAATTCTCAATAAAATATTACAGTTTTATTTTCGAATAGAAAAAAGTGTATTTTTATAATATTTGATCTGTCTGTTTTAGTGTGTGTGACTATGTACAACATCTACAAATGGGTCGAAGCCGTATATATTTGTTTGTTTATTTATTCTCCATGAGTCAGGAATGGTCCTTAAGGGGGCAAAAATCCCATTCCTAGTTCATTAGATGAGAAAAATACGATACGATCTGTATTGAAAAAAACATTACTCGCTAATTGTAGCACGTTTTCATTTGTATTTTTTTCGTGTAAAGAATTCCTAACCTATTAATCAGACCATGTTTCTTGAGTTTCTTGTCCGTACGCGTTATTATTTACAACAGGGGGTGACTAAAATTACGTTTTCTTTTTCTAAGCGAACAAAAATGTCATGTAGATTTAAAATGCAAAAGAGAGGATCGTTTCGCCTTTGTTTGTGCTTGTAAAAAAATGCGCACATTTGCTTTTGCTAAAATTGTCTGTTTATATATAAAAAAAGTATTGTACAATTTGTCTTTTATTTTCGAATAAAATCGTTTCGTTTCTTTTGTTAAGAAAGGAATTTACGCACACGGAGGAATGCTCGGTTTCCTCGTTTCGAATAATATCGTTCACTGACACATACGTACTTACAGGCGTAGTAGCACACTCACACATTCACACGCACATACATTAAGCAGTGTATTTCAGCACGCTCTGTTGTCCTTGAAGAGGGGAAGTCTTTTGCAACAAATTGTTTAAAAACTAGTTAAATTATCGAATAAATTATCACTATCACGCTTCGCCTTGGTCCTCGCATTGCGGACAATATTTGGCGAAGTGGAGGGGGAGACACTCTCTGTACAGGCTGACCGTGTCCCCGTTGAAGGGGACACGGCCCTTCAACGTTTCTCAACATTTAGGACGAGGCACTTGTAATAACTGTTTTTTTTCCCAGCGGTCTACGCTTACCTGGCACGGTTCCGCGATTAGATATAGATCGCTTCGGAACCCTTGTTGGCCTGATGGCCCGCGGTTGCAGCGCTCGTCACGTACACATTCATGTTGGCCGCGGCGGGCGACTGAACCCCTTCGGACCAGTCCGAAGTCGAGTGCGGCGAGGAACTAGACCAGTGGCCGGGCGATTCCGGCGATGGCGTCGGGTAGCTATCCAACGTCTGGACCAGATGCTGTGGCGTTATGCCCCCGCTGTGCTGGCTCGGTGGCGTTAGATACTGGTAGAACGACGACTGCTGGCTGTTCAGCGTTGACTGCTGGCAGTGCGCCGACGCGGAAGACAGCGGCGATAGGTGCGCCGACGACATGGTCGACGACGATGGCGACGAGATGGTGGTGGCGGTTGTGTTTTGCGATGTGGTTGCTTGAGATCCTTGACCTGCGAGGGGAGGGAGAGAGCATAGAAAGTGCGGAGTTAGTTGTTTGATTGATCTTGGGATGTACGTTATCTAGTTATGATCCACAGGTCTTTAAGCTTTTGCCATTCCTAGATTCTAGAGAAACTCTCTCTGTGAATCATTTCTGCTCTATGGAACTACTATGAGATGTTGAAGAACACTTCCCACGTCTAGAAAAACCTTTCTTAAGTTTTCGAGATCCTTGAGTGGATTATAGAAAAGCTTTTCAAGGTCTTAAAAAGCCATTTGTGTTCTACAGAAGCATTATCAGGTTCTAAAAAGGCTTTCATGATCTTCAAAACAACTTTGAAGTTCTGTTGAGAGTCTTGTCCGGGTTCTGAAATATCCTTCTAGAGCAGCACAAATTCATCTAGATTCTAAAAAAAATTCTTTCTAGATTAAAGATAAGCATTTGTGTGGTGGTAACCCTATCAGGGCTTTAGAGAACGATTTGTAATCTACACTACCCATAATTTCATATCTGTCCCGTATGAATAAGAAACTAAGCAAAGATGGAACTGATATGTGATTATGGGCAGACAATTCTAGATTCTAGCGAACGCTTTCTGGGTCTCAGAGCACCATTTTTGAATCTTAATGAACCCTTTTTAGATTCTAGAGAACCCTTTTTGGGATCTAGAGATACCTTTCTGGGTTCTAAAATACCGTTTTGTGATCTAGAGAGCCATTTGTAATCGACAGAACCATTGTGAAATTCTACAAAATGCATTCTGGGTTCTAGAGAACACGAAAGCGGAACTACTTTCAAGCATCGAGGGTTCTTAACTACCCTTCTTGAGGCCATTCTAAATTACCCTCGTGCTTACTCTTATTCTCCCCTACCTACATACATAGCCAATCAAATCCGCAAAGGAAAACCCACCTGTAGGACTGCAGAAGCCCGCCAGCTCCAGTCCGGAGGAACCGTTGACAAAGCTCATCTGCAGGTTGGCCAACATTGCACTGTTTGTGTTACTGCTATTGTTATTACTACTGCTCTGCTGTTGCTGTTGTTGCTGCTGCTGTCCACAGCCTATACTACCACTATTCTGCTGTTGTTGCTGTTGTTGCTGTTGCTGTTGCTGCTGCTGCTGCTGCTGTTGCATACTTCCGTTCGAGATCATTTGCACACCGTGCTTCTGCTGCTGGGCGTGCCTCATCGCTTGGATGTGCGTCGGCGAAGTCGGCAAACTGGGCCGCGTTTTAGCCGGCGATGGTGAACCTGTGGAAGATCGACGACTTGAGAAACCGCTCAAAATTAGCGGCAAAACTTCGGATAACTTACCGATATACCCCTGCGGCGACAGCGCCAGATTACTCTGCACCGAGTGCGGCGGCGATTGGTTCGAGTACGGTGGACTGAGACCACTCTCGCCCATCGCATGCATCGCGTGCATCATGTTGGCAGCCACATTGCCCCGCTGGTTCATCAGCAGGTCCTGGAAGGGCGTATTCCCAGTACCAGCACCCCCCATCGAGTAGCCATAGTTGTCCAAGTTGATGTTGTGCAGCGATTGCATCGATTGAGCACTCTGAAACATCGAAAAACATAGAATCTCATCGTCTTACACTCGCAAAACAAAAAACTCACCTTAATGCAATCCTCGTAGCTCGGTGGCTTCTTGGTGCCGCCGGTCATCGTATCCATCTGGTGCACGGCCATTGCATTCGAGTACAAACTGACTGTGTCGTACGGGCTGGGGATGTTGGCCAGCGGCGATTCCACGGAACTCAGCTGGTCGTCCGAAATCTGCACATCGCCAAGGTTCTGATTCTTCTTCAGCGCGGCTCCGTTCGGCTTCTTGGCCACTGCTTTCCGACGGATGCTGCCATCATTGTCCGGGCTGTTTGGGTTCAGTGGCCCTCCGACGGCTCCATTCACCTTGGCCCGCTTCTTCTGTTTACTCTGCTTCGTCGAGGCAATGATCGTCGGATGAGTAATCATATGCGGGTGCGTCGTCGGTGACATTATCGTGTTCGGGATCGTCGTCACCATCTGCGGACTGCGTGGAACGTGTTCATCCAGCAGTCGGACTATGTCCTGATGTATCCGTTCGCTGGCGACGTCCCGTGGTAACCGATCCATGTGGTCGGTGATATCCCGGTTGGCAAAGTTGTCCAGCAGAGCTTTGCACGCCTCAAACGATCCCTCGCGAGCGGCCAGGAATAGCGGAGTCTCGTCCTTATCATCCTGAGCATCCCGATTGGCACCGTGCGTTAGGAGAATGTTCACAGCATCTACATTGTTGACGGCCGCAGCCCAGTGTAGTGCAGTTTTGCCACTGTTATCCGCAGCGTTGATATCGGCGTCGGCAGTGATTAGATCTTCAACCATTCCTTCTATCGCAAGACGAGCCGCCAGTATCAGAGGTGTCGTTCCGTCGTGCATCCGGGCGTTTAGGTTAGTTGCCCGGTTCCTCAGCAAAATCTGGAACACACCCATGGCATCGGCAGCTACTGCTGCATGCAGAGGAGTACGGCCGGTATTGTCCTGGCTGTTGGCGTCGGCTCCAGCGTCTAGTAACCTCTTGGCTGCATCCGCCCGAGCGTAACGTGCCGCCAAGTGCAGGGAAGTCTCGCCAGTCTTATCCATAGTTGCATTAAGCTCGGCACCTTGGGCAACCAATTCAGAAATGATCTGAGCAGTCGAATCGTCAGCAGTGTCAATGTCTTCTCCCGAATCCATGCCTCCACCGCGAACCGCAGCCACCATCAACGGTGTCATTCCGCAAGGTCCTCGCACATCCACGTCATTATGGCCGCCATCGTGGTGCGTCGGAGGCGTCATCATAGCCGGATGATCTCGGATATCAGCAGCTTCAAAGTGCTGTTGCGACCACACCCTAGGTTCCGTTTCCTCGTAGTCCGTGATCGCGGTGTGATCACTCGAGTAACCCTGATCGATACCACGCATCCGTTTCGGCTGCGGCATCTCTGATTCGTCATCGCTGTTGCACCACTGCTGCGAGTTACCCATGTGTCCATTGGACATATCCACCATCGAAGGATTCTTGTTGAGATTGCGCATCTCCTGTCCATCCGGTCGTCTACGCGATGGCCTTCGAACGTTGGTATTGGCAGTGAAGAATCCTTCCGGGAACCATGTGACACCATGAGCTCGCTTGCGGTTAGCCACCAACACTCCGCACATGGCAAACAGTAGCAATCCGATGAAGAAACCAAGCAGTACGTAGTTTGTGTTCGTTTGCTCTGGAAGGCCATCGTCATCCGGGTTGACTCCTTTGACCTGATAAATCGGGAACTGCTTCGACAGAGAATGCTTCGAGGCCGTAGCGGCAAGGAACTCTGCAGCTTCACTGGCCGTTCCGAAGCACTCAGCACCAGTCATTCCGATGCACTTACGGTTATCCAACTCCAGGAAGACTTGAATACCGGTCTGACGGGTTTCCGTGTAGACCACGTGGTGCTTGCGTCCGAACTCGCTCTCAGCTAGTCCCTGCAGAGCGGTGCCACCCTTCCAGGGGAAGATCATCTCCATTCCGGCGTTGTTCTTCTTGATCCGAACCGTCGTCCTCAGCTGATGACCCAGATCACGCAGGAATTGAACAGAGTTCTTCTTAAACGTCTCCATATCCATCAGCAGGATGATCGAAATGGCACCTTCCGCCAATTGAGCCGGTTCCCTCTCGTTCTCGCAATCCAAACCGTCCCAGTTACACTCGGCATTGTTACATCCGTAGTCACAGAACCCATTGGCGTAGTGCTTCTGACAGTACGCATCGTAAACCGGATTGCATGGCTGTAGCTTCTTCTCGCAATCCCGTCCGTCGAACAAGCACTGAGCATTGTTACACTCCTCGTTGCAGAACCCGTCTTGGAACACTTCCCAGCAGTTGATACTGGCCGTGCAGTTCAACCACGGATTGATTCCCAGCGAACAGTCGTTTCCATCGAAGTCGCAAGCGTACGTATTGCACTCCTCGTCGCACCTATGGTTACCCTGCTTCTCCCGGCAACCCTTCTTCACGCACTGCGCTCTCTGATACTCCAAATCGATAGCATAAGTGTTCAGAATTCCCTTCTTCTTACTAGCACTCTCGAACCATCCCTTATACGTCGGATCATATGTGTTACAAGTCTTACCGGCCCACTTCGGCGGACAGAAGCACTCAAAGTCGCCCAGCTTATTCTGACAAGCGGCTCCCCTCTCGCACGGAGTCGAATTACACTCGTCCAGAATGTCCATCTCACAGTTGATTCCGCTGGTTCCCAGCGGACACTCGCATCGGTAACCTCCGTCGTCCGCAATCTGACATAATCCGTTAATGCACGGATTCGAATCGCAATCATGTCCGGAGAATTCACAATTCTTGCCGTAGTAGCCATCCGCGCATACACAGTGATGTCCGGATTGACGAGTTGAGCATAGACCGCCGTTCAAACAAGGCGAGTTTGCACAGAAGTCCACCTTAATCTCGCAGTGTCGTCCCATGTGACCCGGTTTGCAGTTGCAATGGTAGTCGTTGACCAACTGGACGCAGTCCAGCGTTCCCGGATTCGAACACGGATTCGACAGACACTCGTTGATGTCACCTTCGCAGCGAGATCCGACAAAGCCCGGCGGACAGCGACATTCGAACCCACCGACCTTGTCGATACAGCTTCCGTTGTTGTGGCATGCTCCCGGAACGCAATCGTCCGTGTTGATTTCGCACAGCACTCCGAGCGTACCCGGCGGGCACGAGCACTTGTAGTCGTTGATCAGATCGTGACAGATTCCTCCATTGCGGCAAGGATTCGGCTTGCATTCGTCGATGTTCAGTTCGCAGTTTTGGCCCTGAAAGCCCTTTTTGCAGATGCATTTGTACGATCCGATAAGATCCTTGCAGTGACCACCGTTTCGGCACGGTTGACTCTCGCATTCGTTGATCTCCTTCTGGCAGTAGGATCCGGTGTAGCCCTGCTGGCAATGGCAGCGATGGGAGTTTCCAAAGTCTTCACAAGTTCCGTTGTGGCACAGCATTTTCTGTTCGACTCGTTTTCGAATGGCTGCGTCCTTACAGGACACCATTTCTACGTCGCACAGCTTTCCGGTCCAACCTGGGGCGCAGATGCACTGGTAGACGTTCTCTCGTTGGATGCAGGTGGCGCCGTTTTCGCACGGAGACTGCGAACACCAGTCTACGTAGTCCATGCATTGCTTTCCGGTGTAGCCGTACGAACAGTGGCACGTGTAGTCGTTGTCGTAGTCGTAGCAGGTGGCACCGTTTCGGCACGGTTGCGAGTCGCATTTGTTGATCTTGTACTGGCAGTTGGCTCCGGTGAACCCGGCTTGACAGGAACAATTGTAGCTATTGATTCCGTCGATGCAAGTGCCACCGTTCATGCAGGAGCTTTCCGTGCAGTCTTCGTCGTTGGTTTGGCAGTTCATTCCGCTGAAGCCCAGCGGACAGGTACAGGTGTAAGAATTGACGTATTGCGTGCAAGTTGCTCCGTTCTGGCAAGGCAAGGACAGACACTCGTTGACGTCGACTTCGCAGTGTTTGCCCTCGAAGCCATCGACGCAAAGACAAGTGTAGTCTCCGATACCGTCCAGGCAGGTTCCACCATTTTGACACGGGAAAGAAGCACAGTCGTCCGTATTGACCGTGCAATCGCGCCCTTCGTAGCCCTTGGCGCAAAGGCATTGATACGATCCGTTGGTGTTTCTGCAGGTGGCACCATTTCGACACGGTGAGGATAGAGCACACTCGTTAATGTCTTCGTCGCACAGTCTTCCGGTGTAGCCTAGCGTACAGCTACAGGAGAAGTCCATATAGTTCGGACTTGGCGAGCATTTGGCACCGTTACGGCAGCGATTTGGCAGGCAAGGATCCATCTTCGATTCGCAATCCCGTCCAGTGAACGGAACTCGGCAAACGCATTTGTAGCCGTTGACTAGATCGATGCAGGAACCTCCATTGCGGCAGGGATTGTTGACGCAGTCATCGATGTTGATTTCGCAGTTTCTTCCCGAATATCCCGGCATACACTGACAAGTGTAGGAGTTCAACCCGTCGCGACAGATTCCGCCATGTTGACAAGGGTTCGATCCACATTCATCGATGTCCGTCTCGCATCGTCGGCCTCCATATCCCGGTGGACAATGGCAGATAAACTGGTTAACACCATCCTCGCACCGTCCTCCGTTGATGCACGGATTCGAAGCACACTCATCAACATCGCTCAAACACCTGGCATCGAAGTACCCGCGAGGGCACTCGCACCGGAAGCCATTGACCAAATCCATACAAACTCCACCGTTGGCGCAGGGATCCGAAGCACACTCGTTGATATTCGTCTCACAGTGCGTTCCCATAAACCCTGGTACACACTGGCACGTGTACCTGTTGATTCCGTCGATGCACTTGGCTCCGTGCCTACACGGATTGCTGTGACACTCGTTTACGTTAACCTCACAATTCGGGCCGGAAGTTCCCGGCTGACAGCGGCAAATGTATCCTCCAACCAGGTCCTCGCAGTGCCCTCCAAACTGACATGGGTTCGATTCGCACTCGTTGATCTGAATCTGGCACAGGTACCCGGTGTAACCCGCATTGCACTGGCACGTAAACGAATTGTCCCCGTCGATGCAGGTTCCCCGGTGGCACGGATTCGATGCGCAGTCGTTGATGTTCGTCTCGCAGGACATTCCCGTATAGCCGGGCGGGCACTCGCACGTGTACCCAGCAATCGAATCGTGGCAGATGCCCCCATTTCGACACGGCTGCGACATACAATCGTCGATGTTGATCTGACAGCGCAGCCCGGTAAAGCCGATGGCGCAGGTACACTTGAACGAGTTGATCAGATCCCGGCAGATGCCACCGTTCAGACACGGGTTGGTGGCGCACTCGTCGATGTCGATCTCGCACTGCGTTCCGGTGAATCCTGCAAGCGGGAATGGGAGAGGTTAGAATTTCGATAGTTTGTTTTTTTCTGGATTTTGGATTCACTTATCGGATTATTCTAGAAAGATGAAAAGGTCAAGTTCAGCTGGGAATCGCGAGTTTTACTGGATTAGTGCAAGTTGGAAGTTTTCTTTGTTTTTAAATAGGGTACAAATTTCCCGAATCTGACCAAGCAAATCGATTAACGTACCCCATTCCAGTCAAAATTCTAGTACTACTCTATGTTTGTTGACTATGATTTGCTATGAAGGATTGACAGATAAAATGAGGGGTTCGTGGATTTTCCTTTGTTTCGAAGGGTGCATCGATTAGCTTGGGTCCGAAGAGAGTACCAGAGCTGAGCCAAAAAGTTGAGCACGTTTCTTCGGGACCTTCTAGTCTTAGAGTTACCTCTATGGTCTTACTGTGCCGCATTTAAGCGGCAAGATTATTCAGAAAACATCGGGCATCGAATCGAAGATTTAAACACGATGCTTCAGAATCCAATAAATGGATGAAACGTGGACATCTCGTACCGAACGTTCCGTTTTTGGTAAATATTTATATGATTTATTGGTCGTTGGAAGCATCTAGGCTAGAGAGGTTAAGGGATGCCTCCATTTTTCTCTGACTTCCTAACCTTCTATGACTTATGGTTATAGCGCCATTACACGCTTTTTGAATAAGTCTGTAAATTTAATAAAACTCGTTCGAGTAAACGTATCATATTTTTGTTTGGATCTGTAAGCGTATAGAATTCATATATACAGGAATCTCAAATCATTCGGTACCTATGTCCTCAAACAAGTGAACGCAACAAAATCACCTTCGTTGAAACATGCTCATCATTCAACCTAAACCGACCACCCTATTTCCTAGTATTCTTCGTTCGATTTATTCAAATCATCTGCGCGCCTATCGCAAATTGGCCATCTGTCTTAGGCGTTCGAATACTTTTTAGTTGTCTGGGAGGCGCAGACGGCAGACGAGACCACCTGCCTCCAGCAGACGAGACCACCTGCCTCCAGCAGATACATAGATAAATACTAGCCAAAAGCCTAGCGTCGCTCGATCGTCAATTTGGCACAAACAGCACAAACGCAGCACGATCGATGTGGGAAAATCTGCCGATCGACGCCAGCTAGGCTGCGTACCGTACGTGATCGGAGTACACCAAATAGCGGACAATCACGCTTCGCATTTATCGATTCCAGAGTTGGTACACTGGCAAATTTAGAACCGGCTACGGAGTGCGAAAAATTACTCTTGTTACATAAGGTGGTGTACAAGGGGCCATCTTGTAAACACCAAGCGCCATCTGTGCAATGACAATAAATCACACTTCCCTCTGTCATACTTGGATTTCAGTTCGCCCCGCGCTGAAGTTGCCACAGTCACGCCCTTGCTTTCAAGCTTTCAATCAATTAGCCTACTTATGGAATTCGCAGACAACATGACAGCCCAAAACAAAGCAAGCAATACACACTTATTGCAATCGGTGTTATTTTGGGATTACGCCATCTCGTGCAGATTCACGGTGACAGGAGGTCACCTCCATGAAGTGGAGGTTGTCCGCAATTTTGGTTGACAGCGCGCGGGTTGTCTTTTTTGAACCGTCGTCGACGTTGTCGCCAACACAGTCGGTAACGGTGAAAAATGAGCTCCAAAAACGACCCGAATATTGCTTATTAATTTAATTTAAGATTCGTGTTTTTTTGTTTCCTCTGCTTTATGACCCCAGGGAACCGTGCACAGTGCGAAAAGGGTACCGTACGGTCCCGTCCCGTCGTTGTCGTCGCTGTGTAATCGTTTATCTTCACTGTTGTTGTTGTTTGTTGCTGCTGCTGCTGCTGCTGCTGCGAGATTAAGGATCGAGAAAATTAAAAAACTGCGTAGGCGTGTCGCGCATTCTGCGGGGTTTGCAATTTTTCTCAATCGTCGTATGCTGCCGCTATTCGCATAACAGCCCTATGTCCTAGGGGGATTCATATCGACATGGGACTCTTCTGGTGGTCGTGGTCGTAAAAATTGAATATTTTAAGAAAATTCGACGAAGATCCCTGCGGGATACGCGCCTCCCACCAGTATTGTTTGGCATATTCCGAGAAGATTATTGGGGTTCAACGCCATTCTCATGCCAATTTTTCGTCTAGATATACTGCGCCAGCTGAAACGAAAATTGCACAATTCACGTTGCAGCAGCAAACGACCAATCCCAGCCAATCGGACGGCACTCTTTCTATAATTCCGTATTATTGACACACGAAGAGCATTACATTTTATGTTTATTTATCCTTCGCCTAAGTACATATTTTATGCTTTATTATTGTGGGCCTCGGGGCCATTCGGCTATGAACGGCGGTCCACCTCTAATCGTTCACACAACATTATTCGGTTGTGGTCACGGCGACCGTGTTGGCTCCAGTGGTACATAGCCGGTACAGTGTCGGGCAAAATGATTGCACTGTCGTTAAATAGCCGTAGCGAAGGATGGAATTTGAGCAGAATCTGGGTAGGTTACGTTTAGCGTGTTGTGTTCACAGTTGGGGGTTGAGTCAATATAAGAACGTCAAAAAGAGTGTTGTGAGCAGACATTTTTGCCGTGAGACATTGGAAGCGGAACACTTTTTCATTTTTTCTGATACATTGATTCATCTGAGATGCTCGAAAACTTGATCTATAGTTGAAGAATTTAATTTTGTATCATTTTTGCAAGGATTCTGCTAGTGTTCAGGAATATTTTTGTTGAGAAAAATGCAAAATTCCAATAGTGCCTTAGTGGTTATGATCTTCCGGAATTCTTGTGTGTGAATAGTTTAGGTGCAAATCAGTTCAGATGTGTGGAAAATCGTAAAATAAGACAACTACCGATGGAAACTGGCAAGATGTTCAATGAAAAATGCTTTAATTTGAGCTGTGAAAAATCCTTCTTCTGACGTAAACAAACGGTTTGGTTGACGTTTCCTCTCGAACTCGCGTGGTGCCCTCTGCGTTGGTGGTGCATTAAAAGGCCTATTACTTGACGTACTAGCGTATCCCATTCTTGTACTAGAATCTGTCAAAGTGTGTGTTTGTTTTGATTCACTGGGGGCGAACAGGAAATTATCGCAACACAGTAAATTTACTATCAAATCTCCTGTATTTATCGGATAAAAACAAAATTTGTAGAGCACTTTAAAACATACACTACACATTGGTCAGTTTACATTATATTGGATCAGTTATTGGAGGTTGTTTGGTAAAATCCTCGACACTTTCACTTCAAGCCGTCCATAAGTACAGCCACTAACCCCTCATTGTTTCTGTCAAACTTTCATAGCGAATCAAAACAAACATTATGTAGTACTGGAATTTTGACTAGAATGGGGTACGCTAATAGATTTGCTTGGGACCAATAGGCTAGTCAAGTAGTGAGCCAATTTAAAATCATTAGTTTCGTATTGATTGTTGGTACAGTCGTAATCGGACTTTTTTTAAATTTTGTATCCACTTCCTAAGCATGTCATTTGCATCCTTTGCTTCCTCCATGGTTTTTCCATAGAGGTAACTCTAAGACCAGAAGGTCCCGAAGAAAAGTGCTCAACTTTTTGGCTCAGCTCTGGTACTCTCTTCGGTCCCAAGCTAATCGATGCACCCCTCGAAACATAGGAAAATCCACGAACCCCTCATTTTATCTGTCAAACTTTCATGGCGAATCAAAACAAACATAGTGTATTATGTCTGCATCTTTTTTCCATTCATTACAGACTTCGTTTCTTCTTCTGCATCGCTTGCTTTTTCTTTATCTGCATCCGGGACTTCATTGTCTTCATCAATTATTTAAGCATCTTTCCTCCGCTCCGTTTTCTTCCTACATCCTGCACTTTCCTTTCCTTTCCACCATTGCCCTTCAAAGTTTTCGATGAACGTTGGTTTCATGCAGGAGCTTTTGCAACCGCTTTTCAGTATCCTGGTCGTTGCGCAACGCCGATAAAGGCTTGTGGAATCGATTTCGTATTTCGTCCTGGCCACTTCAAATTCCCTACAGTGCAGAATAATGTGGCGAACGTCAACAACGGTCCCACAGCATTCAAATGCTGGCGGAGTCTTACTCTGTACACGGCGAATGAGAACGACCCAAATTTGAGTTTTGTTCACTCATAATCGCCAAAAGTGCAGGAACTCAGCGTTGAGTAAATTTGTCTCATGGTTTCCTAAAATGTTTCAAACCTAAAAAATCTGCCGCAAAATGAGGAAATTGACGAAAATTTTATTCAGTCTCGGAGTAGCACCAATAGACTGAGTGAATCCAATCTTTACTTTTCTCAAATTCGGGAATTTTTCCCTGGAAAATCCTGGAAAAACCTGGGAAAACATGCGACAAATTTTGCTCATCGCTGAGTTCCTGCACTTTTGCCGATTATGAGTGAACTAAACTCAAATTTGGGTCGTTCTCATTCGCCGTGTACGGATCGATCCACTTCTTCGTTTCCCTTTTGACCTCCTTCAGCTTGACATCTGTCAATTGACGAAATACTTGGTTCACGTTCTTGATGGCATCATTCCTGGGTACGGCGACGTTGATTGATGGACTGTTTCGCGCTTCACTGGCCAGTCGGTTTGCTTCTTCGTTACCGCGGATTCCGGCATGACCAGGGATCCAACAAAGGTGGATCAGCCGTCCAAGTAATGAGCGCTCGATTATCTGGATCCACGGATGCAGCGATCTTCCACTCGCTACCGTCGAAAGACAGCTAGCCGAATTAGACAGAATGATAACACGTTCGTTTGATGCTCTCACTGCGATGACGGCCGACTTGATTACAAAGGCCTCCGCCGAAAACATGCTACACGTTGACGGTAGACCTATTGCTTGCTGAATGCTGCTGCTAAATACACCTGTTCCCGCACTTCGTATAAATGGCCAAAGCACGGCTCAAACCGGTTTGCCAGCAACTCCTGCACGATGGGACGCACTGTATTCGGGGGATCCCTAGCTTTCACCTGCCGTTTCACATCCCA